AACATGTCACTGTCGACTCCAAACGATGCTATGTAATCCCAAGCAAAGTGGAGTCTATACTTAAACTTATCTGGAACGATGGCTTAGCAGTATTTGACGGTCAAGAAACCGACCTGAGCTATCATGACTATCTCTCCACTTGTCGAGCTAGATGCATCAGTAGGCTCAAGCAAGCTAGAAGGGATCTCTTGAGGCCCACTAACCCTGCTCCGTACAAAATCAGCACGAGTAAAGAGTACGCTGAATTATATAAGGAACTATGGGACTCTAAGGCGCCAGTTATCCTCTACAAGTAATTATTGCACACGCGTGTGCTCGTCAAACTAAAGTGCTGCCCGGCATTGGATTGAAGTCCTAACAACCTATGGTGGGTCCTATGGTGGGTCCTTTGGTGGGTCCTATGGTGGGTCCTTTGGTTGGTCCTTTGGTGGGTAGTCTTTCCATGATTGCCATGATGCGTCGGTGGATTAGTGAAATGCATCGTGTGTGTACGTGCGCTGCTCTGGGAAAACGCTCATGGTCAGGCGATGCTGCTTTTTATTGTGGTTGCCTACCATTTATGCTGGTGATGTGGAGTGGAGCAACGGGGGAAAAACTAAAGCTAAGCCTAGCACGGCTGAGTTCAGTACGATTGACGCGAAAGAGCTGAAACCAATTTTTGAAGATGGTTCAGTTCTCTTTCAGTCGCATAACACGTTAGCCAATGTAGGTCTTCTGGTTGCGAGTGCCTTCCCGCCGGTTGTCTTGGAGTGCCTTCCCGTCTTGTTCTTCCCCACTGCCGTTCATTTCTTCTTCTCAGGGTGTTAACATCCCGAAGCAGTTGGGCACGTTATTCCGTCAGTTTGAAAGGACGCGGAATGAGTTGGGTCGTTACGCATCGGTGGGAATGGATGCATTGACGAGTCCGACTATGGTGCCGGGTCAGCAGGGTCGTTTGCCTCGATTGCGAGGCGAGTTGCTGTGCAATCCGGAATTGATGGATTGTGCATCTGCAGGTGATTTGGGCGCAGCAATCGGTGAGCCAATTTTGGAAGTATTGCATAAGAGCAACTTGTTCCGTTTGGGTGATCAATTATTTAAGCAATTGCAACAGGTTTACGAGCATGCGACGATGGGTATTACGGACCCGTTAATGGACACATTGGAGTTGGAGCCGTTGGTGCAAACACTGGAGCACGTTTATAAGACGATCGGTAGCAATAATATTGGGTTCCTTAAGCCGAAGGGACAGAACCCTTATACTGATACATACCGAAACGCCGTCGATCAAGTCCTCTTCAACTCAGCTGAACGACTTGGATATACCAATCTCAAGGGTCAACAACTTCTAGACACCCTAGAGGACTACATCACATGTGGCGCCTGGCGTGACTGCGATGGTGGCAAAGTTACCGGCAACGCCAAATTGCGCAACCCGAAACCCTCAAGTCTCATTGGCCAGAATGCAGACACCGTCCGTGTCCTACAGCGAACTAGGGAACTACCTCTGACAGAATATCTGATTCATATGTTCAAAAAGCAAAACGACCCGACATCTCCTGTCAACTCTCTCGCTGTTGACACGAGCATGCAGACTGCGGATGACACCTTCCCTCCTAGTTCCAATGCAACGGATGATATCATTAAGTCTCAAGATCAGTCGCAAGATCAGGCGCAAGATC